ATTTTTAGAAGCTTGGCACTCAGGTCAATCAGCAATTAGCAAGCATATCGACATTGAACCAATTTATCAACAAATCAGAAAAATCGTAGTCGACATAAGATCAAGAAACAGATCAAAAGGTGGATACAATCAAAACAAAGCTGCAAACAACGACAGATTTTAGGTCAAACGCAACTAATCAAGATCGAAGTTAACAGAACAAGCTATGGGTCAAACGTGGAGAAATTCGAATACTTCACTTCTATCTGAAGTTTGTGCTGATGATATTGTTCAGAAGAACAATGAAAGCTCCACAACCGAAACATCCAGCTCAGAGAACGAAACACCACAACAAATAATTAGACTGGACTTAAGCCTTCTTTCCCAGAGTGCTTCAAGTTCAAGTGTATGGCATCGAGTGGGATTGTCAAAAAGTGGTTTAGTTTCAAGTATTTGCTAGTAAGATGCATTTGTCTTCTTTCCACTTTCAGCATATCAGATCGATGTAAGTTGGAAAATAAGAAGTAACAGTATTCAGCAGTAAACAACGCTAGACTCGTTATGAAGGAAATTATGAAAAAAGAAACCTAGCAGTTTTATCATTCAGGATACTTTGATGGAAATGTGCTCAAAAATGTTTAGCCTGGATAGGTAATGTACTCCAAGGTCAGTTACTGATATAAGTTTAGGTAGTACGTTTTGCTGAGTGTGAGATTTATATTCCTCAAACACATCCAGTCACATTTCTCAATATTTAATTCGAAGTTCCAACGCTTACACCAGTTATCTACATTGTTGAGTTCATACTGCATTGTCTGCGTCCAATTTCCTGTCACATTTTTAGTTTTATAGATTACTTTTAGATCATCAGCGGTACAGGTAGGTTACGCCTACGTTGAAGTAACCGCATACATCGTTATTGTAGATTACGGAAAGTGGTAAACCCAGGACAATGCCCTTCACAATACTACTGCTGATCGGTCACGGTTTATTACAGAGGTACAGGTGGCTTGTGCTTTAGAAGTAGTTGTACGTCTGAACTGAGGACAAATGCTTTCAACTCTCACAGTTCTGATTTATGAACCAGTAGTTCCAATCGATCTGTTTTCGGTTTTGGGAGGCGTAAGGAAAGGAAATGTAATGTTTGTGTACCGGTCATGATTGTAGCCGATACTAGTGTATATACAGGGCTGTTTGATCTGTAGTTCTTTAGTGATTCTACATTGAATTGTAGTTTTGTTACAGATAATTATCTTCTTAAGCATCAGTGTGTGCCTAAGTAATGACTGATTAGTAATGAATTGAATGGATTCGATGATACTAATAAACTGGAAAAGAATGGGACGGGAGATTTTAGTCTAGGTTTTGTTAAACTTCGTGTTTCACACCAAGGACGAGACTCATTTAGCAGAGTTCATTTTAACAGACTAGGCTCGCACTGTCAGGTATGTTAAAACACAATAGCACTTTGTATGCACTGAAGTATTTTTAAAAATTTGAGAACATTTGGTTAATTGTCGTTTCCACTTCGTAGCACTCAACTATGGAGATGATTCAAAGATCCGGAGGTTCATAAAAAGTCAAAAAGATTTTTTTGGATGCAGAACCACCCTATATTGATAGAGAAATGAGTAGTAGACAACAGGTTAAAATACTAGCGGTCGAAATGTCATAGCATGTACACACTGCTCCATTTAACACAAACAAATCGCGGCCTCCATGAAATTCTGTTTCCATATGTCTCTCCTGAGTGGAATGTCGGCCTAGTAACCTAAGAGGTCCTGGATGCCGGCTCAAGGCTAACGTAACTCTTCAAATAATGCGAAGACAACCTGGCATAATCATCCCGAAATTGTTCTTAATTCTCTGAAGTCCACAACGTCACCGCCCCCTCCTCCTTAGGAGAGACATAAATCTCCTGAATCGACTGCAGAGAAGAGCATCTAAATGGGTGATACGGTTGAAGAACAAACCTGACGAAGATAGACTCCATCACTTGAGTTTATTCCCCCAAAGTAACAGGAGAACCAGAAGTGATCTGATCATGGCACAGAACATATTAAATACGCTGAATCATCTTAACACGAGCTTCCTGTCAGATTATCATCATCACACCCTTCCAGGTAACCCTCGAAAAATTGAACATCGTAAAACGAACACGCAGGTACGTGCTCACACTTTTTCACTGAGGGTTGATCCCACTTGGAATGTTCTGTCAGTTGAAGTGGTTAAAGTCCCCTCAGTGGATAGTTTTCATGGTGGATTTATTCTCCCTCGCTTGTTGAAATATTCAATATACCTTTCATCATCACACTTTGATCGTCTAGCAGTACATGCTCTGTCAAATAATTAACTTGTTTAATTATTTGGTCTCTGTAACATCCGTCATTGCTTTATTTTTATTATTCTATTCTATAGCTACTGGAAACGATAAATCCTACTGCTCTGAGAAAAAAGCGTCCACTCGAATTACAAGACATACAAACACACAAATAATAAGCCAGTTAACTACAACTCGTTGAACATTACAAAATACCTGGAAACATGCGGGAAGAAGTAGGAGAGAAAGCGAAGAAATCTGTTGTTTTATACTAGCTAGCGAAGCTAATATTGGATACATAAATAGAAACTGATGAGAACAAATGATCGTTTGAACGGTCAAATTTTACCTCCCACATTAGCACTAATCGAAGCACTGACACTAAGTCTCGAAAATGTCTGAGAGAAACATGAACGGTTGAAAACAATTAAGTAGTATAATGTATAGCATTTAAAAGAAGAAAGTTAATGAAATAGATAGCCGCCTGATTAGTTTTACATATCTTCATTCCTTATTACAATCACAATACGTTACTTAATTGTCATTTACAGCATCTAACAACTCTGTCTGATAACTAAATCAGTAGTGCGATATGTATCTCCGGCTGATAAGTTCAGCAGAGAACGAAACATGCCTTCTGAATTCGATTGTTGAGTTCAAAAATGCCACAAAAAGATAAGAACAGTAATGTAGAGTTCATTTGAGATTCTTATTGAAAAAATACACTTCGCTAAAATATCCTTGTTTTAATCGAATTGTTATTTATAGATAAAATATTTCTTTATTTTTAATCGATACATTATATGACAGATCTGATTTGGTGCTATCATTTCAAATAGCTAGCTTGTTCCCGAAAATTCAGAGCCATAATTCATCATCAATTAAGACGTAAGAACTGCATAAAAATGCGTTTGAAATTATACCTCCCACAATTAGAATACATTCCACATTACCTGGCTAATAATAATCACATTCTAATATTACATTCAATGGGTAAACGACTGGGCACTCATTAAGTATATAGTTCTTTTGCGATTCGATTGATATTTGATAATTGTGATTTTAGATTATTTCTCTACAGAAGCTCTGATCAGATTACCTAGTAAGAAATTGACTTTATTGAATTCCACTCACTCTGAATGTTGTTTCCGGCTAATATAACTCAACATACTTCTTGTTGTTCATTCGATTTTTGATTTAAAGTGTCTTTGAAACATTGCTTATGCGTCGTGTAACAACTCAGCGACCAACCACTGTTGAGACTGTGTGTACAGAACTGAACAAAGTATCCAATAGATCGATAAAGTTTCCTATATTTATCGACTGAGGTGATCAGGACATGTGTTACATTTGTTTAGACTAAAATAATCAGAGATTTTTGTTAACGTAACAAAGGTGCAGATGCATTATCATACTATTTTCCCCTAGATTTTGAGTTTCGACCTTCTTCTATACAATTCTTTCCACTTTATGAATCTGATTTTCGATGAGCGATTCCTTTCATTATGATTGTTATTACGTCATTTCAATCTTTCTGTTATTCACATAATTACTTCTATCTCATTGTGTTAGTATGATAAGATAGATTCACCAAACCTAAATCTTGTTCAAACTTCATATTGTTAAAATCCATTTGTAGTTTCTTATTCTTTTGCTCCTTTTTTCATTCATTTCTCTGTCTTTGCCGATAGTTTTTTCCTATTTCATCATCTTATTCTACTTTAAAGTCTAATAACTTTTCTTCTTCATCTTCTCCCATCTCTTCGAATGTTTGTACTTAGTTTGTTTTTTTTCTTTGTCATCACCATCTACTTTACTGTTACACTTTCTTCATTATTTGAACTTGAAGATATGATTTATAAATTTGGAGAATTTTTTTCCCAGTCTATTTGTAAAATAAAATTTACTATAATAATTAATTGTTAGTTTTGATTGGTCAATGAAGCGGTATATATATATATGTACGTATATATATGTGTGTAATTTTCAGATCTACACACCTTACAAAACAGCTTATTTGAACAACGCAAATATACATTTCGGTAAGTTATTACAAGTCGGTATCTATTGTTCCAAAATCTGCAAACGAAATCTTATGATTTTTCAAATTTTCAAAATTATTAATAATTGGCTATGGTTGTAATTAAATGAACATGCTGTTTTACGTTTGTCAGAATTGATCATAAATCTAATGAAGTATTTCAGTAGTGAATATTATATTTTCATATTATTCATGTTAACAATGGAATAGTGTTGCTTTTTTTTTTCTTCAAAATGTTTAATTCTCCTTATTTATCTATTAAATGCTTTAAATTATCTGTATTAGTGTATTATCATTGTATGAAATATGATATGGCGTAGAGTAAGCAGACTGTAACATACATTTAAACCATAACAAATAATCGACTTGTTTGTTTGAGTGATCATGAATTTTTTCAGATCATTCGAAAGTTATCTTCATAAAAATGTATTAGTTTGTTTTGGTAAACACTTGTATTAGGAAAGAAAACAACAATACTCCTATTTAGACTTCTTAAAAAAAATAATAAGAACCATTTTAAACTATAGATATACTAAGCACAACCATTTTAAGATTAATATAATACTGAATAACATTATGAGTAATCTGTATTGTTTGTGCTTAATTTCTGTCATAACCTGATAGCTAATAAATAAACTAAATTTTAACCCACTGTTCAATATTGAATAGTTTCCAATGGTTCTCCAGAGAATCGTTTTTCTTTTTAGAAGAAGAAAACAATCACTGAATCTTAATAATTAATTGACATACATATTTTATGCATGTATGAAAATGATATCCATACTTCAATAAGGTTGAAAGTGTTGAACATTCAATCATAAACAGAGATTAAAGCATTTTTTTCAGACAACTAATACTGATTTTCTGTCCTTTTATCTGGATATCGAATGTAATTAACTGACTTGACTATGTAGAATTTTCATTAAATCAAGAAAAAAGAAATTGAGTGTTATCTGGTAACTGTAAACTTAGAAATAAAGTTACTTGGGAAGCATCCGATTATTATCTTTGTACGTGTTATCAGACATTTAGACAATAACTATTTCGGAATATTCTTTCCGTTTGAAATTATTAAACACAAGCACAATCTTTTTGTTAAAGATTCAGATAATGCTCTATTTATTGAATTATTTAATTGGTAAAATTAAAAGTCATTGACACTAAGATATTGACATGTTCATAATCAATAACGACAGTTGATCTATTCGACAAAACTATTATTATTATTATTATCTTTAAAGATGAAATATTCATAACAGCTTTGAATAAATAGTCAAATAATGCATAGTTAACTGATAATCTAATAATCTAATGGAGATATTTGACTGTAGTTTATAGTAAGAAACTACTTAGTAATTTACAACTTATCGCATTGTCAATCGGAAATCTTGACGAAGAAAAACACGTTTAAATATACATCAATATCTTAGACACTTAAAATTGAATATTTAACTTTGTATATATTTCAATATTACACATTATTATGTTTATTCTTTTCTATATAATCAATAAAAATCAAATGATATAGTTATAATCTGAAAATGATTGAGATACATCGACAATTTTTTTTATTCAATTTTCATGACTTTACAAAATTTAATGGTAATTAGATGGTGATAAATGTTTCATAAACTTTGTAAATTGAATAGGTATTTTGAAGATTTATTGATGGTGCTAAAGAGATACAGTATACGTCCATGTATATATAGTTTGTCCCTTTACAATGGTCAGTATGTATGCAGTATCAAGCATGTACTAATATAATTCTTCCTGACTATTTCATTTCAAGCTCTATCTCTCACTGTGTTTACATTTTTATCCATCAAATTGGAATGTACTATAGTACTACAGTTTCTGTAGAACACATATGTAGATAGATATGAACGATTAAAATGAAATTCCTAGTGAAAAATCTAGTTGTTATATGTAGTGGCTACCCATTATAAATGAACGGGATAATGTTCGGAAACGATAGATGTTTCATGATAATTAAACACTGAAGAAACGATTGTTGACTGTTTATGGTGTTTGCGGTCTCAATCTTTTATAAAATTGTTTAGGAAAATTTTAATGACGTATATTTACTGAACATAATCAACCTCCTACACAAAGTTTAGTTTAGAGCGTACTAATGAATTATAAATGGAAGAGCTTCAATGATGAATATCTTTGACATATGCATGTACACGTATTCAATAAATACTGAAGTTCTGATTAGAAATTAAGAAACTGTTGAATGCAAAATACAACCACTAAGTATGTAAAGATAAAAAGAAAATACTTTGCCATTATTTACAAAAGCGTTTTATATCATTACTAAGGTAAGAATTCAGTTTATCTCATTGTTAAAACTCATGACGGAATTTCTATCATCTCTGTTAGATATAGGCGCGACTACATTAGATAAAACAGTCTTTTCACATGTTTTATTATGCATAGATTCAATGTGAGTCGTTATCAAATCCACTGTCTGTATATCATCTTTTCAATACTAGAATTCATGTTCATACAAACTGAAGAGTTATAAAAATATGATAAAACGTGCATCTTAAACTCCACTACTGGTCACAGTTCATCTGTTCTGTTAAGTTTCACTTCAATTCCATTAGCTAAACGAGAAACTGATTTACTTTGGAGATTATGGATAACCTGAATAGATAAATTATTATTTAATGGATTTCTACACATAAATAGGATTTGCCACTTATCAGATTAGGTCACTATTATTTCTTAAAAGCATATAAGAAACAGAATAGACTTTAAGATATAGAAACAAACATAGTGTACACAAACTTGTTAATGTTAACTCCATTAAAATTAATTCATTGTATGAATAATCTGATTTGAAACAAAAAATTTATTGAACTTAAGATAATGATTTATTCGAATTTATTACATTGAGAATTATATCAATTATAACAAGTTGACCATTGGAAATTTAATCTAACACAATAGTACACTGAAATCAGATTAGACTAGTAAGTGACATTCTTGTTCACTGGATTTATTGACAACAGCTACACATGATCTTAGCTTAGAGTGCCGAGCTTAGACATGATTTTTATTTGTAACGTTTCACATTCTCTTATTATTGACATGAAGTACTGTCAATTTTTCGATCTGTATGGATATATCTGTGTCCTGAGTAGATTACCTCGTTATTATCAGTTAATCACAAGATATTTAGATACCTCAAGAAGCGGCTAGCAGTAAATATGTGAACGCAATAATTCAGTTGATAAAGAATTAGTATTTGAAAAGGAAAGTGCTGGGATCATTTACTCTGTCATGCACATCAACATTTTAATGAAACAAGTATATGCAGCAAAGAAGTCCGAAATAAAATGGCATGTGGATTTCAAAGTTTACGGTTGACCACTATGCAACTTCAGTAACATAGCGGGTAATTAGATATCGGGAAATATTAGAATATGTACAAACTTATCAGAATAAGCAATAGTTCTAGTGAAATGTTCGTAAAATTTATCACCGAAAATACTCATCTATCAGGTATGCAACTTTGTAAATGCGAACATCAAGAATTATTGTCATTTATATTAACAGTCTGGTTTAAAGTGTGAAAGAATTTATACTTGAGATTAGCCCAGTGGTTAAACTTTAAACAATTCGAAAATATCACTCGGTAAGTTGGTTTGACTTTCTTCAGAGAAATGACTAAAATGTTATCAAAAATAAAATTCCTGCATGTTTCAATCTAGGTACAATCAAATTTCACTTAAGTTTAGTTAATTCTTCACTTGCCTGTCCTGAGTTCCCGAAGAAAGGCCGTATTAAACTTGTGTGATGTTGTCTGCTCCGTTGTCCAGTGCTTCTTTGGTTTCAGTTTCATTTTAGCGACCAGCAAGTGGTGATCTGAGACTATGCCAGCTCCTCTCTTGGTTCTCAAATCTTCCATGGTCCTTCTGAACTTTTTATTGATACAGATATGGTCGATTTGGTTTTGAGTGGTGGGATCCGGTGAAATCCATGTAGCTTTGTGTATGCGTTTGTGCGGGAATATTGTGCCACCGATGACCAGTTTGTTGAAGGCACATAGGTTTGCAAATCTCTCTCCGTTTTCGTTACTTTCTCCCGGTCCATGTCGTCCCATGATGTCTTCATATCCAGTGTTGTCCATGCCGACCTTGACATTTAGGTCTCCCATTAAAATCGTCAAATCCTTTGGTGAGCATATGTCGACGATTGACTGCAGACTTTCGTAGAATTGATCTGTAACGTCGTCAGTGCCTTTTCTGCTTGTTTGGACAGTATCTGTGCAACTCCATGTGTATGTGAAGCATTTTCTTCTTCATGACCAGAGTATAACAGCAGTTCCCCTGAAGCTAGTCTCAGTTGTCCTACCTTTGTTCAATGCGTTTCGCTGATTCCAAGCACCTCCACGTTGTATCTTTTCATTTCTGCAGCTACCTCAAATAGTCATCCAGCCTCCCACAATGTTCGAAATTTCCATGTACCTTAAAGAATGTTTGTTCTGGTTGTGAGAAGAGGCATAGGCCTCATGAGTTCCGAGGGAACTCGGCTTTCATAACGAGACGTCATAATTCTTCTTCCAAATCCCAGGACAGAGATAAAATGGTTAGAATTATTTTTACTTCCTTTAGTTCAAATGAATTTAACTATAACTATTATGTACAAGTTAAATTTGTGCTTGGAATTAGAATTCGAGTTGATGAATGAACTATGACTAATGTCAACAAACTTGCTATTTTCGGCATGAATCAATTGTTAAAAGATAAAACAAAATGTACAATTAAGTCAATTATCAATTTCACCAGTTTATTTCATATTTAACAGATAGTTAGCCATAATTTTACAAATTTTAGAAGATTACCCGTTATTCATAACTTTAGTAAATTCTTCTATATCAATTTGCAAGTCTATTGAATAAAGATTGATTAAATGGTTTTAAATTGCTAATTTATGCTATCAACTTGTAAACAAATTATATTTATAGTTTTAAAGAATTACTCTTTTTTTTCTTCAAAAGACAAAACTAGTTGACTAATGATCTGAAATTCCCAACACTAATTAACTAGCATATTATACACAATGAATCTGTTCATTCATATATTATAAAGCGAAAATATCATCGAAATTCAGAATTCACCAAGTTTATAAGCAATAACAAGTAGAATAATTAAATTTAAGAGTTGTTTTCGTTCAGTAATCTTAAGCTTTCTGCATATGCACAATTCCTATCCATTTTTATTAGAAAATATATTGTTACGAAACACAATTAATTTCAATTGATGTTATCATTAACAATAGTTGCCAAAACAATAATAATAATTTCTAAACCGGAGGAAATCAACGAAAAACAATAAACTAATATGTTTGACAATAAACCAACATAAAACAGTCATTTCTCGAAAAGAAAATTTCACAAGAAAATGAATATAAAACTTGACATGAATTGCGAAGTTAACTAGAAGTTGGGGTGTTTGTGTGTGCGTGACATAATTAAAATACTCTATCAACTGTAAAAGTGGAACTTTCATAAAACTCAATGCCAGATTTAGTTTAAAAACCAGATTATTTATTTTGAATTTAGATTTATAAACAATAATATTTATTTCAATATTTAAATGATAATAACACAAAATACAAGTTTCATGCTACTTGACTATTAAACAGTAGTACAATGACTTTTTGTTCATTTTGTGCACTGAGAATTTTGATTTGTTTTATTTGTTTCAAATCGCTGCTTGTTGAAGTGGTTGATCTGTAAATCAAAGTTAAAGGTTATTTTCACTATTAGTATTAGCGACATTTTATGATTTTATTCATACACTAACTGGATTAAGAGAAATATCAAAGGTGCTGAATAGAACAGACTAAATTCATTGAAAATGGACTCAAATAAATCTAGCTAGCTAGTGAAACCAGAACCATCTGTCTAGCTCATGAAAGTCTAATCTCCAGACCACCAAACAGTTATTCATCGGTGAACATAAACATATATCATTATATAAAAGAATGATGAAAAGTGAATAATAGTTTATCAATTTATTTGAATTATATCTACTTATATGATTAAGATAGTTGGTATTACTTTTAACAACATTATTCATTAATATGTCATACCTGAATAAGCAAAGAAGTGAACGATGTTATAAGGCTGGTTATTATCTTTTAGTTTCAAAGAACACACAATGGTGACAAACAATCTTTCTTTCATTTTCTTATTTAAAAAAAATCTAAGATTAAAGAACAGTACAACTGTATAATCATATTTATAGATGTCTTGCAAAATGTATGCTCAGTAAAAATAGGAAAATAACATTGTGAAGAAATAAAAATAGTGGAAGAGAACACAATCGGGGCGAAAAAATAACAACTAAAAGCAAGGAATAGTAAATCATGTAAGGTACAGTTCATTGAAAAAATTAGCAAACAAAATCCATTCAATCAATAGTTTCACTAAATTTCATGATGGATGCAACCAAAAAAAAATATTGCAGGAAACCCATAAGCTTTTTTGACCTGTTTCATGATAAAAATCAATCAATGAGTTACTATAACTCTAAGGCCTCGTTATTTCAAGACACTTTTTTTAAAATCAATTATTTTCCTATACAGATTTACAATGGATTACTTAAAATGGTTTAATTGTCTCATTTTATTATCAGGTAAGATTGTATTTTTAAAATACGTGATTACGTTAATTATTTTACCATACTATTATGTCGCGCAGTTGTCTAAGTTAGATGATGAAATGTAAGCTTTTAATACTCTAGACCAGACTAGTTACTTGAGCGAGAAAATTATTTAAAAATTTTATGGTCTAAATCCTAATCAATAATATGTAGATTAATCATTCATAAATATATGTCACTCAGACAATTGAGCTTTTCCAGTCAATAGTGTATATCTCTTTTCCTGGTAGACAACGTAACCCTATTAAGATCAGTTAGTTATCATTTCCGCTCTATCTGATTAGCCCATCGTGTCAGACACTATTCAACTACTTATCATAAAAAGTGGAAAATGTTTGTCAAGTGTCAAGAGCATAGCAGATCATAAATATTGAGAATGAAGGAAGTAGAATAGGATACCTAACTTTTCCTGTGTCAAGGGTTTATGAGGATATTTTCAGTTGATAAGAAAGGATGAGTAGGACTGTGTTAGCCACAAAGATGGTTGTCTCAACTGATTCGTTCTTCTCTGCATGCATTTACAGAATAACGATCAAACCAAGTGCTAGGATTTGATTGACATGCGTCAACTGGATCTTCAAGTTGATCCGCTTGTCTATAATGCAATATCTTGGTAGATGAAGTACCTGTTTCATCTGAAGAATCCTAAAACCCTGTAGGTCAGCTATCTGCAACGGCTTCTACGGGATGACATGTTTAATAGGTGTTTGTATAACCTAACCATAATTCCGATTCACTTTATAATTGTCTTTGTTATAACTGAAATTGACGAGCAGATCTTGTTTTTTTACTGATTCAAACATTAGAAAACGCGTTGTTTTCGTTTTCTGTAAGAAACGTTGACCAACTTACTTATATGCAGTTTATAAGGTTCCTACTGTTATAGTGGAAAACTTCAGGGCAGTTCACTACACCTTAACTTCAGACTTTTATTTGCAAAACAAGCAGATCATGGTTATGCTCTTCCACATGTCTTCTGATCTTAATGAACACTGATCGCACGACACTCCGCTGTACACCACTTATGGGACACGTGATAGCACGCAAGACACTACTTCAATCTATTGAGTTAATTTTTAAGTGGTATTTTTATGCTTACTACAAGAAAGATAATGATCATGTCGCAATTCTGGCTTGTTGGTTGGTTCTAAATTTTATATTCTGTTCAAGAAAAATCATTTCAAAAAATCTCGTATTCTTCTCATTTTTCAAAATTTTCGCCTCCAGTTATAGTTTCCACAATAAATCCACTTGATAACATCCCCGATTCCGTTTATCCGGATGACATATTAAACGAAGAACCAGAAAATATGGAAAACTTTTATCGACAGGATCGTTCTACATTATTTCCACGAGTTGGAAGATCACATACAGGCAGATTAAACAGATTGAGACGAATCCTAACGAAGAATTCGAATTTCGCTGTTGATTCACGGGAACGAGCTGTTCGTAGTATGCACTACGGAGAGTAAACGGATCATTTAACTTAATCAATGCATTGTATGCTAATCTCATTGTTAGCATAATGATAATTATAACAAGTAATATGAATGAATATGTGAACGTTTTCAAAGTATGAGTAATAATAAACTATTGCTTTGAAGTGTGCTTTAATTGATATTATCTTATCGTAGAGTAAATGATTGTACGGCACTCAGAATGTTGAGTTTATTATTCGCCTAGTATGATACAGTTACAAAAAGTCTATCTTAAAATATAATTGAAATTCTATTTTATTAGATTTACTAATCAAGTTGATAGAAACGAATTCAATAATTCAGATGGATATATAACAAGACTGATGATAATTTAGTTTTTAAAAAATGGGACTAATGCAAAGATTTTGGGAGGTGAGTTTTTTTAATGCGCTGGATATAAACCATACAAATATGAATACCAACTTATTGTGACGCGTGATGCTGATCAATATGCACTAAATCACTTTGTTATTTCTGATCGACCTATTTTGTCACAATCTGAAGACTGAGTCTACTGTTAGTTACTTACCTCAACATTCACAGTTGATTTATGTAACAACACTGATGAATAGGGACACATATCTGAAATGGTGATGAAAGTGGTCGCGGCGGAAAACAAAGTAAATGGGATTAGAATGTTTATTATTATTTTACCGTTTCTTGGTGTTTGTAATTAGTCAGCTGATTGCATAGTGTTCATTCGATCGATTCCTTAAACAATTCCCAAGCTCAACTTATTTGAGATGTTCAAATAAGACACTAAGTCGATAAAAGTTAACCATTGCATATTTATACAATAATTACTTCAATATATCAATGTAAATTAGAAGAAAAAAAAGGTAGTTTAATCACTTTTTTTCAGCTTTTCCTATTCAATTAAACAAATGAATGCATAGAAAATTGAATATGTTACTAAAACAATAAAAGAAAAATACTAAGTTGTTTAAAAATATAAGAAAATAGAAACTATTGTCATTTACAAAACGATCCGTTTTATAATTTTAAGAAATATAAAAATTCAATGTACACACATTCGAAGGTATTAAAAATTTATCCCAAATAAAACTTTATCAAAATGTACACCTGAATCGATAGGGATAGTCACTTTAGAATCAAAGTGAACAGAAAGACGAGCGGCACCATAAGCTGCGCTTTGCTTTGGTTGAATTAAATCTAAAGTACCAGTCCATTTATTATCTTCAGAAGGTTTCAGAAAATCTTTAAAACCTGTTTCAAAATAACGAATAAAACTATTAAATTATATATACTACTAGAAAGAACAACTAAATAATAAGACAATTCCATCTGTATCGAAAAACAACATCATCGTGACTTAGGATCCATCAAAGTGTTTACTTTGAGACGAAGGTTAATAGTACTTAATCATAGGAGTTCTCGAAGAATTTCTAGACAAAAAAGTAAACGATGTTTCAGTTAGATGCAGTGTATTCCGTACAGATGATGAATCAGTCAATGAAATAATAATGACGTGTATTAGTCAAGCCTAAACACACTTTACCTCCCACCAAAGAAGTGTTTACTGGTTCAGGAGTAGTCTAAAAAGAAAGCTACAGGAGATCATACCATGACATAACATTAGTTCATAAATCTACAATATACAGTAGCAGTAAATCATAATGACTTATAAATAACATAATTTATTATTATAAACATGTCGTTTCGCAGTAATCAATAAGTTAAAACCATGATTATATTGAATCCGATTTCCAATCTATGTCAATTATCACACCACTCATACAACACAAATATAAATCAACTAGTCAATTAATCTAGTTGACTGGAGGTCAAGTGTCAAGATGACAGGGTCATTGGTTAAAGCACACGTAGAAACGCTATTACGCTACAATTTTGCAGAATTAGTGCAAAGCTAACGTTAAAAGAAGTAGCAGATGTAAGATAGGAGGAATTTTCTACAGAAACAGGGTTTGTGAACGAGACCAATGAGATTTCGGAGCGAATTTTATTCACCCATATGACTAGAAAGCATTCTTGCATTAAAAGTGATATCAGTTCGAGATAAAAGTCCTAATTGTTCACATGAAACACTTCATTATTCATGCTAAAACGGTTTAGTTACTGTAATTTGAATAGATTTTGTTTATTTTAATTCATTTCAAAACTAAACACTGATTAATGGTAGGCTAAAACGCCAATTTAGGTCATTTAAAAACTTCATATATTTCTCATCATACGATTGAGGAGATTATTAAATACCATTGAAATCAGGAACTGATTAATGTTAGACCACCAGTAAAAACCTAGAAGCACTGCATGGCAGTTGCGTTCTAGTATGGAACTCATCAGCAGTGCGCATCCACAACGAACAAAACCTCCCGACACTTTATCGTGTGCTAACTAGTGACTAGCTTCGGGAGGGAATTCTCGGAGTTCCAGTAAGTAGACGTGAATAGTATGATCCAACCGTGTCGAGTGTGAGGTAGTTAATCAATAAAGAAACTGGGTGAGGTCACGTAATATCGTGGGTTGATTAAAGCTAAACATTAACACCGTTGGATGCCGGCTCAGTGATCTAGAGGTAAAGCTTTCTCGCAAGGTCGAAGGTCCTAGGTTTGGTCACTACATACAAGGTTATGGAAGCGCATTGTTGAGGAGTCCTATAATAGGATGAAATGACCGTCCAGTTCTTTTATGTTTCCAATAATGGTGTAAGTGACTTTCCCATTACAATGTGATTTTAAAGGTTATACAAAAATGAAAAGTTACCATCCTTGACTAGATCCCAACTCTTGAATACTGAACCACAACAAACAACTTTTAAATTTGGATTTTGAGACATTGAATCCTATAACAAAAAAATGTTGAAATGATAAAAATAAGTAGTACGCTTTTTCTATACCATTATCAATAAAAAAGAATTTCAGTTAACAAATATACACAAGAACATACAACTGATTGATGACTCAGCATTTGCTGATGTCACTGCTAGTCCACTCTGATCTGAAGTGCTGATCAAATGTAACTGATGGAGGTGCAATGTGGTTCCTAGTCTAAATGACTAAATATCGCGAGCAGTGTGTTGAGATGTTAAGTGGCTGAAGATAGACATTCCACAGAATCCAATCGAAAATTAAGGAACCAAAGATATATGGCATTGACCGAAACTCAGTGATCAATCAATTGTAAATAAATTTTGCAGGATGTTAATCACCGCCTAAATAGCTCAATCGTCACTCACGTTAAGTGAGTGATATTGGTTCCAAGCCAATAGAGAACATTAGTTCCTAATAAATTGTAGGTCCTGTCAAGGACCAAGGTAAACACAAAGGGTGAATACACCTGTTTTAAATATATAAGTTGATGTTAATTCAGATGGTTTTAGCTATGTAAAGGAGTCGTTATCTAGCTCCTTTAGGTAGAGTATCTAGAACTTGACATAAAATACAGAAAGCTTCGTCTATTTTAATATGATGTTCACTATCGACTAACTGAGAAATGATCGTTCTTCTGACAGATTTCATAACTCTTTTTCACAATTATACTATTACATATCCACGAACACACACGGATAAAGCCCTCTGATTACAGCCTATGTAACCAGCTTTATACTAGCAGTTGACTTGGAAAACACACGTGGAGAAGCTCATCATCGGTAACCAAACCTCGATTCAAGGTGTAAGAATTAGTTTGGTTTCAAAGATTACAATTAAAACTCAGATCTTTTGAATCGACGTATTAAACAGTTACCCAATATGTTCTCTTTAAAACCGAATTTTAGAATGACGGCTTTCTTGCAGACCGTATCAGAGTTTGTTCTCACAGAAATTTTCTGACGAAACTATCTCCCCTTGGCTAGTGAATTTAAAAGGTGGACGAACGTTATCGAAAGTATTTAACAACTGTTTGTTGGCATTTTCGCCACACACGATTAGCGTGTCACTGATTGAATAAAACTGTCTGATAAATAAGTCAATTGATCGGCTTGACTAAATTAAACATTTACAGATTCAAGTGCTATAGCTTGATTAATGTGACGAGATACTTAAATAATTTGAGGTTGTTGAACTGATAATTTAACAGTGAAGGTGATTATCAAATCATAACCGTCCCGATTTCAAGGATAAAATTGAATAAGAATGAATGACATTGTGAAACCAATATTAATAGATTAAAAATTGTAAATTTATTAACAGTAATTACCATAGCATAGTAATATAAAGCAGCTCTGACATGTCGAGCCAACTGAATACCGGCACTGTAAAACACATCTTTGGCCATCTGATCTCCAGTTCGAGCAACTGGAAAAAAAGAAACATTTAGTACACAACTTATATATAACAGACAAAACGCTTAGGTCGATCACCAAATGATAAATAGTGTCAGGCTATACTTATCAAGTCTGAAATAGTAAGCAGGTTGGTCAATATGCCTGTCAATAAGATATTTGAGTTTGATAATAATCTACCATGAACATTCAATCATAATTTCAACTGTTAGATAAATAATAGTATGAGCTCTGTCTTAGTGATTTGCTAGAATGCTATTACGAGTTCAGCTTACTCCGTAAACGGAACGAAGGATCAAAGATACAGTGACACGATGGACTATTCTGATCCGTTGTCGCAGGCACTGCTAACTTAATCAAGAAGTCTTGATAAGGAGTAGAGAATGTATTCTACAAGTACCCAGAAAATACGAAGTTGCTAAGCACACGAACCAAGCTTAGTTATACAATGATAGAACACCCTTGCGAGAGCCACAAAGTAGCGTGCTAAAATAATCCATTAACCAATGACAGTCAAGGATTTTCCGAATCGGAAATATAAGCTGAATGTCAACTAGGCTTCTCTAGCGCGAAAACATGCAAATTCAAAGTTTCAAAATAAAATTACAAAATTAAGACCTTCCGAAGTGAGTTCTGGGGACCAAACATACCCAACACTTAGTATGCACTACAGTTTAGAAAACGAGGCACTATTATCAACTCGTTTATTTATACTCCATAGATACGTCCTTGGGACAGTTACGAAAATAGCACACTAAAATACACAGCAGCCAACCACAACCATGGATTTTCCTGGTGGGAAATGAAATCTCAAGGTTAACTGATCAACCCATGATCGCAAACGTGAAATCCAAAATAAGCCATTTACCAGACGAGTTCTGGGGACCTAACATCCCCAACAATATGAAATGGTACTACTGTATTTAACTTTATGTTAATACGACTGTCTAATAGAATAAAACCATTGCGTAGATATATGGTGTTGCTAGAGATAAAAAATAAGTAGCCCTAAAGACATACAGTGGACGCTAAACAATCAGATCAGGTCACTAGATCACTACGATATTTGATCATACAATACACTCGACTCAATCGGTAAATGAAACGACCAATATTGAGAGTTTATTAACATATAACACTAAGTAATCAATAATTGGGGTTAAAGTGAAACAGTAAAGAAACCAATTTTACATTTCAGATAATCGCTTATATTTATTGCATCCGGATGTCCATCTCCACTCAACAGTTAGTCATGGCCAACTTTGACCGACATATGAGGTGTGAGCAACTAAGTATATAATGTACAGTTGATAGAAATAAGCAGTAATTTCTATGCCTGTACTTTTATACATGAAAAAGCTCATTACATGTCGCTTCATTTTCAGGTTGAATGGTGTATATGGCCATTATTTATGTAACTATACTCCAACAAACTTGCCTGTTATAAGAGTAAAGAAACGATGATATGGTGTAGTGCTTTAAGATTATGGTGAGTACAGAAAAATAGGATTCGGAGTTCGGATCAGTGTATTCATTACGAACTGATCTTAACTGTAATACAAGTACACTAAAATATGTATCCTAATCTTACGTTCTAGAATAATCTTTTCTGTTTGTTGATTGATTAAAAGTGCCCTGATTTTAAGGATTGTTTAACATTATGGCACAGCACAACTTTACGGTTGAAAGAAACAATAATTTTTACATAGTAAAGATACAAAAATAACAAATACACAGGTCACTCATTTACTTACTTTGAGAAAAATGTTCACATAGTCCAGCAATTTTAGTTTTATTAAAATTAGTGTAGAAATGTTGAAGTAATTCTAGATTGTTTTCTATATTAAAATGGGCGTAAATAAGTCTACGTATATTATCCAAGTTATAAGTAGTATCTACCATTTTCTCATCTGCTTTGATGAGTTTTTTAATCATTTTCTGTGAAATCCAATAAGCTAATGTAATGGAGAGAGACAGAGAGAGAGAGAAGGAAAGAAAAAACAATAATTCAGTGTGGCAAAATCAATTTGTACAGACAACCCTTACATTTCCTTGACGAGGTTATAAGCGCGAAATGTTTTCAACATAGATTAATTGACAGACTACGTTGCTAGTGAAAATTAGCCTTAACAGAAAAACTATCTACATATAAACACTGCTATTCTAGTTTGAATGAGTCCATACAATGAGCGAATTTCACTTATCTTAAAATTAACAGACTTGTAGCAAGTCATATAGTTTATCAATCAACTAGACCTAATACAGAAAAACAAAATCAATGAAACCACTAGTATTCTTTTTTAATTTACGAAAGAAAATTGAAAACAAAAATTCTGACACTTTAAAAATAAAATTCTACTTCTTTTTTCGAATGTTATCAAAGCAACAATTAACAACATAAGAAAAGACAACTAGCCATACCTGAACCATAGTCACCTAGCAAATGTCCATAACCACCGATACGTTGAAATGTTAGATTTTCCTGTACATAACAACATATTGACCCTGTTCCACAAATCAATACAATTGCAGCTATAAAAGTAAGATACAAGGTAAATATAACAAGTAATTAAACAATTAATGAAAACCAACAAACAAATTCGAAACGAAATACAATGAACATTATTAAAATTCATGGTATTATATGTCAACATTGGTAGATTTCATGAGAGAATACCACCACCACTAACATGATTACGATTCGTGTATCTATTGTAATCAGTGGTCGGATGCATTGAGTGATCATATAGCTCAAAATTGAGTTGCAATGACCCCAGATACAATGGCTCATGATTTTCCCTTCGATTTTGAGTTTTAAAATTATTTTATGCATTTCATACCGTAAATTTCTATTTTGTTTATATTTTCCGCTTTTGCAATTAGAGTTATGAAGATTAGTGTTTTTTGCACATTGAAATCATCAATCAATCATTGTTAGACCACCATTGAAAACCTAGAAGCACTGGACGGCCGTTTCGTCCTGATATGGGACTCATCAACAGAACGCATACACGAATCCTGCACCTCACAGGATTCGAACCAAGGACCTCTGGTTTTGCGCGCAAACGCCAATGGGTGAGGTCACTCAAAATCTCTAGATCAGTCAGAGTTAGACATTAAAACTGTTGAATGCCGACCCAGTGGTTCAGAAGTTAGGAGTTCGCGCGCAAGACTGAAGGTCCCGGGTTCGAATCCTATGAGGTGCAGGAGTCGTGGATGAGTACTGTTGATGAGCCTTATACCAGGATGAAACTGCCTTCCAGTGCTTCCAGGTTTCTAAAGGTGGTCTAACAATGATTAATTGATAATTTCAATGTACAGTGTCTGTGCCGAATTATTTCTGAGATGATGGGGATTCGTAGCTTAGGTGGACAATCTTGGTCGATTTGTCCTGTGAAATGGATGATTTAATCGTGGAGCTTTTATCATCCACTTGAACAACACCATCAGAAGAAACTGTAGGCAGATATGAAGTATCAGAATTTCTCTACATAAGACTAACAACTTGTCCTGTCGATCTCGATTTTATATTCATTCGTTAATGTTGACCTTTAATCTTACATTATCTGTCTCTCTATTATGCTTCCTTTGATCTGATTCTTGCTCCTATATTTTTCTGACTGGTTGATAAATTGAATCGACTTAGATAAAAGCTCCTAAATCAAACTACCTAATTCACAGGACGAAACCCCACCAAAAACATAATTATTTCTACTATCACAGTTATTGTTACTATGTCTACCATCCTAGAATTTGTCTTGCAATAATTTTATGTAGCTAAACTGATATAGTGTAGCAACTTGAAATGATGTCCACATGTACTAAATCCTACGTTTCTCAATACTGACTGACAGGGGTTTCGAGTAGCTTTTTCTTGTACAGAAATCCAAATGAAGCTAGTGTACATTTCTATGGTTCAGTTTGGAAAGAGTGATCTGAACTTTATCAAGACGACCAATACGCGTAGCATTTTCATTCCCTTCCAAATTGTCAATTAACTGCTTAATAAGAGGTACCACAGTCATTGGCATTTTGAATATAATGAGATCGAAATAAGTGCGCATTTATGGACAAATCTATAGTGAAAGGTCATGGGATATGATTTTCTTTAATGGATAGCAATACAAACCATAAATAGGTATGAACAATGCCATAGAAAACTAATGTTGGTTCAGACCAATAGGTATTATACACTATGTGAATTGGTTATTTGAATCAAAGTCATTATACCATAAGCGTCATAAACTGATAAAAGTTATGAAAAATTCCATCACAAAAATTATAGTGAATTTCATTTGAACAAATTTATGATTGAGCTGAATGGTTGTTTCGTGCTTATTGAGCAAGATGTATTCGTAATCTTGGTAATATTTATACTGCTTTGAAAGTTCAAAACTCCTCGAAGTGACAAACAGAGACGTTACTACCAAAAAAAATACAGGCTGCTACTAAACCGTGTTATAATTCGACCAAACTCTTTAGTCGATCGCGGAACGCAAACCAATGGATTAGTCAAGTAGCAAATGATAATAGAAGTTTTTAAATCAGTAATTTATAAAACAAATGAAGCAACTAACCTTTATCACATACTGTTAAAAACGTACCAATACTATCATTGCATATATGAATTTCTTGTGCAACATTTGGACATTGTTTTTTGATGGCATTTACCAGTTCGGTTTGGTTTGTTTCAGTATCCCCACCACTCAACGACAAACCCTGGAAAATTGAATATTAAATAAAACTTCTGAAATACAGTGAATAGTTGGAGACATACAATCTCATCCACCTCAAGTTCACCAACTTTCTACACCTACGAGCAATGTTAATCTGTGAAAAGAAGGGAGTTGAACTGACACTAAAAATATAATAATTACATGATATTTGGAAAACTTCTGAAATTTGGTCGCTTTCTTTCCCTTACCCAAAGAGGTTAAAAGAGGAAAAGACGAGTACTATACGAAGAATCAGTGGACGACCACCAACTAAGTGACCTTATGTAGTAAGTGGATGCTGCTTTTACTTTCTGAAGTAGGTAGATTGAGTGACACTGAAAAACGCCTGGGTAGATCTTATGGTGTTGCGGTTCATTGAAAAGATAATGGAAATTGCCTGCTGCAGCTCTGCTCAGATAGTCGTCTGTTCTCACAAATACCAACTTTAAACATAAAGTTAAACATCTATCGACATGATGGCCCCCGAAGTCAATTTGACGCTGGACCCAACAAGACCACATCGCTATCAACCATCGGTGGAGAGGCATCATTGAAGACTGTCGCTCATTTTGAAGCGTATGTTTAGATTCACATCATGCTCTCGTACGAACACGTACTTGTCTACGGCTTAACAGACGTGAGAAAGACACGGTCAGGAACCTTCTCAGAGTCCCACTTAACGATAACAGAGCCTAGAGTATATTTCGAGAGCAACTAGAAAAAGTTAGGCCTCCATGTAAGTAATTTCCACCCCAAAGCAGACTGGAATGATAGCCTAAAACCTGTGGAGACAGCGGTGATATCTGTCAGTACGGTAAACCTAATGGTTATGGAGGAGCAGTGGATTTCAGTAGCGTGTACTAAACAGATAGATGCTCAGAAACTCACCCCGTCTGGCTTTGAACATGATGAGGAGTGGGGGAAGCTTAAAAACATAGGCTGATAAGAAGCCGATGCATGATCATGAAGTGGTGGGAAGCGAAATCATAAGAGACAGAAAAAGTAGCATTAAAAATCCGGTTGTTAGCGACACTCGGAAGCAAACGGGATAATTATTCATTCTCAATCCAAGAGATTGGATCGATGGGTAGAACACTTTAGGGAACAGTTCAATTTGCCTTCATCCACACTTCCGTTACCCGCGATCTCCAGTCAACCGGAATGACAAATCGGTGTAAGTCCTCCAACTCTCATTGAACCAGAAAAGGCCATAAGCAATCTGTGAGGGAGAGCAGCAGATCCTGATGGGTTAATCTCTGAAATTTTCAAGAATGGTGATCCAGTTTCAGCAGTTAGATTGACTGACATTATAGCTAGAATTTGGGAACCGGACGTAATCCCATTTGACTGGTCTCAATCACTGATTGTTTCAGTCTGAGAAAGGAAAAGTCTTGTTGAAACAATTACAGGGGGTTAGTTTAACTAACATATTGCCTAAAATATTAGCTCCAAAGCCCAACTAGAGCTCGTGGAGAGCACACTCGACAAAACCAGGCTCGTTTCAGACATAGACGTGGATGTATAGACTACATATTCACACTTCGCCACACAGACACACATTGTTACGTACGACAATAGTTGTATTCCTGAACCTGAAGGCGGCGTTTGACTCTGTCGATCGTGATCTTCTGTGACAATTTCTGTCAATGAATGGAATACTGAAGAAGTACATTGGCCTTGTACAGACTTTCTACTAAATCACTACTGGTTGAGTCAGAACTTATGGCGAACTATTATCTGAACTGACTACTTTAATTGGTGTTTGTCAGGGTTGTCCACTTTCGCCATCCTTATTCAACTTTATCATCGACATGCTTTTGGATACATTTTCATCAACTGGTATTGCAGGAGTTCAACCTTTACCGTGTTGACTTGTTGAATTATAATATGCCGATGACATAGTTCTAATTGGTGAGGGGTAGGCTGGAGAAAAGCTAGGGGCAGCCAGACCAAAACATGGCACAAATCCATGAAGTCACTGACCACTAGACTGAGCAATACTAGTAGGTGTAGACTACTTAGTTGGGGTCTGCTAGACGATAGTAACCGGTGGTCCGAAACTTTGAATGACAAGACTCAAAGTCGCTTGCAACGGCGCAAATAAACCCATTCCTTGTATTCTCTCAAATTCTAATCTTCTGGATTCCGCATGATCTCCTTCCTCTGTTTTAAATCTTCTCTCTGGGACATACCTCTCGAACCATATCTTCGATCCCTAATATTCTCCATTACTGCTACTACTGCTGCTGCAGTAGGATTCAAATTGACAATTCAACCTCTCTGTGCTTATGTGATATTGAAACTCGAACTGACGTACCTGCGTACTAAGTTCAACGTTGTTGCTGGTTGATCGCGTTCCGAAACACCACAACGAACCAATCCCAGTAGCGGTGAAAATAATTGACTAGATACAGCTGCAATGATTGAGGCAGTCAGAAGATAACGTACTTGTGTAGTTGATCCACAAACTTAAAATGAGTCCCAAATAAGTCCATACAGTCATAGGTACACCCAGATATTTGACATCGATCCAAAACACCCATTGTTACGAATTCACGTCACCGTGTCAATTGATATGCTTGAACTATTACGAGTTCACCTTGGTCAATAAACGAGAGCGAGGATCGATGATCCGGCGACACAACAGGCTACTCTAATCCGAGCGTGCCAAACCCAAATTGAGAAGATTTGATATGAAGTAAAACGTGTATTCTACAAATAACCAGAAAATATGACGTCCGAGTCCAGAAGATAAGGATTCCGGATCATAAAAGGTCAGAGATAATGGATATTTATACAGTTAGATCGAATAAGAAATAACATTTGAAGTATGTGACATTGATAATTAGGACGACCATAATATTGACCAGTAGGCATTGGACTTACAAAACAATTCTCTTAGGATATTTGATGAATATCGTAACACCCATAAAGAATTCATCTAGTTTAATTTAACATGGAACATGACGTATTCTTAATCTACAACTCATAGGATAAACCTACGCAGTTCGCTTATTATTAAAAAGGCTGTACAGAAGTTATCTTACGAAAACCAAATCACAAAAACATCTGTCTACGTAGAAATACTTACTAGATGAGCGAGTGTTTCTGTGGGCTGTCGGTTAGAATTGATTAGTACATCTTTTACGAGATTTAAAATACGTTGAGCAGCTTCTTCTAAACCTAGCAACTGAAAATTTTAAGAATCAAATATTAAAAATATATGCACTATTCGGAACATGAATAACTAAAATAGTTTTCTTTCGGCTATATTCGTTACAAACTGATCTCAAATGAAGTTTCATTAAAAACCAGGTAGTAATGAACAGTTGTTTCTTCCTGGTATAGGACTTTTCATCAGTGACAAATACAACTCATACAATAAACCAATCTCCATAAAACCCCTTCAACCAAACTAGAATAGTCAACTTACTAGTGACTTCAAAACGCCCCTAAAGTTTTAGCAAAAATTCGTGACTGTTATGGGTGAAACAGTCACCTCTAATTGCATTAGGTGACCATCACGTTATATCGTAAAGTGACTGAAGTTAAAATAGCACCATCGAACGCTGATTCGGTGGTTAGAACAAGTAGGCATTCACCATGACATCTCAAGGTCCTGAATTCAGTCTCTAGGGAAAAATGTTACAGTAGTGAGAAGTATGATACTGAGTCAAAACAATAGTACAATGCACCCTAGTTCTCAACCATACATTAACTGGAGTTAATCTGTGACGAGTAAAATCTACAAACTGAACTACTTACCACAAAACACCCTCATCCAAACTAGGATAGTTTTCATCTAGGGAAATAACTTATCAAATTAATAGTTTTAAAAAAATATTACTGGAATATTCTATGGAACGGTTTCCATTAGTGTCAACTGCATTAAGACTACATTCAACTCACGAAAAAATTACTAGTATCATATCAGTTGGTTAGTTGATCTGTTTAAATATTTCAAAATAAACACCAATGATTGATTAGTCTACAATATTTAGTAACAAAATTTACTTAAACTTTGATCTTTTCTTGATCTGCAAACGATAAACCATCATAATTCACTAAACACATGAGAAGTGATGTATAGGATGATTAAGCATATCTCTTCTGTCAGAAGGTAATTTTTTGCCTATTTAAGCTCAATACATATTTTTCTACGAATTCAAAGACCGTTGAATTGTTTTAGAATACAACTTGCTCAAGCTGGTTAGAAGAGATGTACGTATAAAATATAAAATAACTTACCCATGGATTTGTTGGAGGTCCTTCACTATAACCTAATTGATTTCCTGAAGAGTCCAACAAAACCATTCGAGAAATCGTAGCACCTCTATATACAGTGAAGAGTAATAAATGAATTAACACATCAAGACAGAGTGGAACACTGTAAAACAATCTATAACTTCAAGTCGATATATTATAGCACAGAGAGAAATAAAACAGATAAATCAAAAAGGCTTGTGTCTAGAACTGGAATAAATAACTGTGCAAATGCTAAACGTTGCAGTAAAGCATACAAAAATTTTGTCATACAGTGTTTCAGGAGTCTACTAACTTTGAAATAAGGTTTTTAAAAATTCACGCATAAATTAATGTTAAATATAGACTCATGAATTACCTGTACATGACTATTTATTGAATTTTTAATGAATGTTTACTAAAGATGTTCTCCCTGTTTGATGACTGGGAACGAGAAAACAAATCAATAACTGTTTGGTCTAACCGACCATTTAGTTGCAGCTTTCTTACAGAAGTATATTCAAAGACCTTTGGTTACTCAGTGTGTTACATACATTCAGAAACTATAAGGCAACATACTCATAAGTCACAAAAAAAAATTCACGGTTTAAGTTCGTTAACAGTCAATAGCTGAAGTAGCAAAATCACTGACATCGATGTTTAAACGCGTGCCATCGTTATCAAACAGTCGAAAGCTCTGAGTTTCTGTCATATGGTTGTTCTATTTATAGTAGAATTTAAGCCTATTAAATGAAGGTTCATGATAGCGAAATCAAGGAAATTTTCAAATGTCTTTAAGATGCAACAGAGTACGTTACAATCCTTATATTCCCTAACTGACCTCATGGAACTACATAAGTAGGACGATTAGTGTACGTCGACGGTCCAACGATAGCACAATCGCACTCATATGAGAAGACTGTAAAAGGGTACATGTGTTTCCCCGATCACAGCTGCTGCCTATCGTGATGACCCAACCGAGCTATACTGGCTGGAACATATGTTTCTGTAGGTCCTACCATGCCTGGCAGGTCGATTGTAGAACGACGAGACTAAAAACAGCTACTCAAGGTCTGAGGGCGAAGTCGTACTACTGACTGCAGAGGGGTGTGACAGAAGTAAGGTGTTTCCCTCGGACCACCAGCATATGCAGCAATGCTGCCTTCTTACAAGGAAAGAAGGGATTGGAAAAGGTCCACTCTAAAAATATCACAGCTCACCTTACGTCACGGATTCCCGTCTCCGGTGGTAAGGCCTATTACACAAGAACGGGTTACACACTTTGAAAACTTCTCACAGAAAGGTAGCGCATGACCGGCCTCAAGCAGTTGTCCCTTGGACTCAGCGGTCACACTCTCAGGTCTCTTAGACCAACGCTAATCTACCTTCCTGTTCAAGTTCTTCGAAAAACACCCACGGTGTGGGTAGCCGGGAAGTGATATCCGCTCTCATACCCGTAGCAACACGCGAGACCAAATAAGTCACAGTCAAACCCTTCCTACGCCCCCTAACATTTCTCTGATCTCCAGATCTCGCTCTTCTCACATCCCTTTAACACCCTGCACTGTTAATGCAAACGACTCGAGTTCACGAAACGTTATTCCTGGTTTCCAGAAACCCCGACCTAAACTACATGTTGGAGCTGTTGATGTCCGGACATAGTGTCAAATAAGACAACAGGCTTCCTTGGCTAGGACTTTAGAAACTCGCGCCATCGATGTGTGCTACGTCTCCAAAATGCGCATACAGGATCCGAGTGCAGTGATTAATTTGTCCAACTAAAGAACCGACACGGTTTACGCTCAGTGTATCTAGAAGTCCTGATGTTGCTTCCCATCATCTAAATGGTATAGGTATAGCATCAAGTCGAAGGGCAGAACTAGCTCTACTAGAATGGATGCTAGTAGATAGTCACTTATGCGCTGTCGATTAAACGGGACAGTAAGGACTCGGAAAGATAGAGACACTCACAGTTGCCTCTTCGCCGTATCTGCCTACGCCACCACTGGCTGAAGTTCAGACGAGGTGAAAGATGAGTTCTACAGATAGCTTCTGACCTCCTCCAAAAAGTTAAGTGCTCTGATATAGTAATAGCGGCTGGTGAATTTAATGCTTAAGTAGGTAGACTAGGTGACAAGGAAAGACACCTGGATGGATCTTACGGTGTCGAGGCTCAAAGAACAGATAATGACGACCGTCTGCTACAGCGATGCTCAGATAACGGCCTATATCTAGCAAACAATAACTTCAAGCATAAGGAAAAACATCTTTTGACATGGCGACCCCGAAAGTCGTCACAACGCTGGACCCAACTAGATCACATTGCCATCGGCCACCGATGGAGGGGTTTGATAGAGGACTGTCGCTCGGGCACATGTCTAGATTCAGACCATGCTCTAGTGCGAGCGCGCATTTATTTGCGACTTACTGGACATAGGAAAGACACAGCAAGGAAACTTCTTAGGGTTCTACCTAATGATACCAGAGCTATGAATATATTTCAGGAACAACTAGAATAACAGTTAGGCGACCATGTTAGTGATCCCCATTCGGAGGCAGCTTGGAATGATATGCAAAAAGCTGTGATATCTGCTAGTGAGGTAAACCATATGGCTAGGAAGAAGCCGTGGATCTCAGTAACAGCTACCGAACTGATGAATGCTCAAAAACTCATCCCACCTGGCTAAGGCAGTGGCAATACGCAACAGCAGACAACTTTTTCGCCTTATAAAGGAAACTGGTATTAGAAATCCATCTGTAAGCGAAACTGTCTCAGAAAATAATGGCTGTATCATTCATACTCAATCCAGGAGATTGGATCGACGGGCAGAACACTTCTGGGATCAGGTCAGTTGGCCTTCAGCCACACTTCAGTTGCCCACAATCTCCAGTGATTCTGGATGGCAAATCAATTCAAGTCCTCGTAGTCTTCATGAAGTTGAGAAAGCGATAGGAAATCTAAAGCGAGGGAAAGCAGCAGGATCTGATAGATTGACACCTGAGAATAATAAGGATGGTGGTCCAGTTGTAAAAGTTAGATTGACCGAGGTCTTAGGTGGAATCTTGGAACTAGGTGTAACTCCATCCAATTGGTCTCAGTTGCTAATTGTCCCGATTTACAAGAAAGGACTAAAGTCCTCTTGTGACAATCACAGAGGAATCAGTCAAACTAATACAGCGTCGAAAATATTGGCCTCAATAATACTCCGACGCTTAACGAAAGCTCGTGAAGAGCAGACTAGAGAAAACCAGGCTGGTTTTCGACCTGGACGTGGCTGTATAGACCACATTTTCACACTACGACAGGTCCTGGAACACAGACACACATTTAGGCGTCCGACAGTAGTTGTCTTCCTGGACCTTAAGGTCGTATTTGACTCTGTGGATCGTGAGGTTCTATGGCAGTGACTGTCATTGAAAGGTGTACCATAGAACTACATTAACCTTATACAAGTACTCTACTCGAACACCACTGGTCGGGTGAGAGCGTATGGAGAACTGTCATCGGAATTAGTTACTTCAAGTGGTGTCCGTCAGGGCTGTCCACCCTCGTCATTCTTGTTTAACTTTGTCGTAGACATCCTTTTAGAGTTAACATTGTCCTCGTCAGACTTTTCGGGGGTGGACCTTCTACCAGGAGGCTTGCTTATTGACCTGGAATATGCAGATGACATACTTCTATTCGGTGAAGACGCCAACAAAATGCAGTCTTCTGACTACCCTAAGCAACAATACAAGCATCTTTGGGATGCGGTTCTCCCCTCGAAATGCGAAATATTGCTTCAAGATTGGCCTCCGTCGACACATGAACTAGTGATAGGGAGTGAAGCAGTTGAGGGTATCGAGCACTTCACTTACCTAGGGAGTCTCATTAGCGCTGATGACCTGGTGACTGACGAAGTCTCAGCACGCATACAGAAGGCTTGATAGACTTTGGCCAACATGCGTCATTTGTGGCGTAGGCGAGATATTCGTTTGCTAACCAAAGGTCGAGTCTACTGCGCAGTAGTTCGCTCCGTTCTATTATATGGATACGAAAACTGGTCAGTCAGAGTAAAAGATATTCGTAGGTTACTAGTATTCGATCATAAATATCTTAGAAGCATTGCTCGTGTATCGTGGGACAACCAAGTAAGCGATGTCATAGTTAGGAAACGAGTATTAGGTAAAAATGGCAAATCAATAGATGAAGTATTGAAACTTTATCAGTTGAGGTGGTTAGGATATGTGTTACGAATGCCCAATCACCGACTGCCTCGACGAGCTATGTTTTGTGGTGTAGGAGTAGGCTGGAATAAAGCTAGAGGCGGCCAGACCGAAACATGACAGAAATCCATGAAGTCACTGACAAGTGGACTGAGTCATGTTGGTAGATGTCGGCTACCTGGTTGGGGTCTGTGAGACGATAGTAACCGATGGTTAGAGACCTTGAATGACATGGCTCAAAATTGTTTGCAATGGCGCAGGTGCATTCATTCTTTGTGTTCTCTTTAATCCTAATCTTCTGGATTCGTCTTTCCAAACTTATCTCACTGGATTATACTTCTCGAATAATATCTTGTAACCCAAATCTTCTCCATTACTAGTAATAGCTCTACTATCTGTACCACTACGGGATTTGAACTGACAATTGAGTCCTTGTGCTTATGTTGTATGGCAACCTGAACTGATGTACTTACGTACGAAGTTCTACGTTATAACTGACTGGCATGTGTTTCAAGAAAATGGAACTGGTTGAATTACTTAAAAATGGTATGGGCACCACCGTCAAGAAATACGTATTAAGTGACAAATATATCATTGAATCAACTGACACATAGGAGTTGAACTCTAGACTCCAACACTATTTTAAATACCTAAAATTCTTACTATTAGTGATGTTTAGGTTTATTTTTTATCAAGAGTTATTAGACTCAAACCAAGTATAATATTTAGTTGAAAAATTTATATTTATTAGAATCGAAAGATTTGTTATATACACTCTTGTCTATAGTGATACCAACAGCACATGACTGGTTACAACACATATTTATCACATATCATAATCACGTTCGCATTTGTGTGTCAAACTATGTGAAAATTCATTTTGTGAAGCACAATGATATTACTTGGTTGTACAGCTCATGAAATTTTGAAGCTTTTCTAAATGCAAAGGTAACACAAATTAAGTTATTTAGCTATTTCAAGTTAAGCGTTAGCGAGAAAATGTCAAACGAAACATCAAGAAAAGGTAGTCAATGACATCATACTATCTTATCAGGTAACTGCCTCTTAAAAAAACAATGTCTAACCAAAAACGTCCAGAAAATGTTTCCACACCCGTTTGGTTCGTGATTTCTTCACAAACCTAAACGTTCAGTAAGCAAGTAAGAAACTTTTGCATCCATAAGACACGTTTCATAAAAAATTCAAAAATCATGGAACCATTTCACACTTACCCTTCTATGCCACCAATAAGGGAAACCATATCAAGTTTGATGAAACAGACAACCGAAGAGGTTAAATGTGCAGACTTTCCGAGAACAAAATTTTCGTTTGATATTCACTGGCTGATAACCATCCGTTATAAAGAATATTATGCTAAAGAAATTTTGTAGTTAAGTGGCATTTAAGAGATTCTATAAAGTTTTTATAGTAATAATAATAATAATAATAATAATAATAATAATAATTATAAACAAACATTACCAATTGAGTAGGAAAGAATAAATCAGAATTTACCTAACTGAAGAACCCTAGATACATGAATTTTACGATTCAATGGTTCGCTTCTCCAAACTAATTTAGGGCTCCAACTGTTCTTTCAGTAAACAAATTATTAGACAGCCCAAAGCCTAGAATGAAGGTTCTGACAACTCATGCTTTGAAATCAGTTAACATTATACAGCAAAATTTAAAATGGTGATAGATCTGTTACTACCAAGTTTTGATGCTCGTTAACATCTACTTTTTAGTGATTATTATAAGATATTTCTCTGAACAAACAATGCAAAAAAACGAAATGGAGCATCAACAGTCATCTGCTAAGAGTTTGCACCTTGTTATACAACAATCAAACGTAAAATCGGGTCAAATAATTTTGTGGGTTATCTCCTAAAACCTCATAAGAGAAGCTTTAGTTCATAAAAATAATAACTGTAGAGTTAGTATGCTGCTTATATAATAAATGATTACTTAGGAGCTATGATTAGATTATACCAGGTGATAGTCAGCTAGTCGTAAGTTTTCATGCATGCACTGAAAGAAGAATTATCGTCATACTGCACCAAACGCTCTAAAAATGTCGACATAATTATCTGCTTCGAATTTTGTCTCACACATCATAATTATAAGACTCAGATGAGAACGAATCAAACTGCTACAGCATGTCTTCTTTTATAGGCATACATATTCAGAATTTGTGGCTGAAATTTCTGACTACGAATGCATTGTTCGATTCGTCTCAATCTAATAGAACATTGCTCTGCAGATTAGACGAAATCCGCAAAACGATGCTACAGTCTTTAAGCGACTAATCAAAATTGAGCTGACTGGAAAGCTTATTCCTAGAACTCAAAATATATCGTACCTTGAGAGCTTGGGAGATGGTTCTCTTGTGGAATGAATGTTTAAGGCCAATTTTTTTGAGTCAAGATTTCGGAGCTTTGAGGTTGAGAAATTTCAGGGTTAGGAGCTAGAGTACAGGAATTTCAGCGTTAAAAGTTAGTATTGAAATGGCGGTTAGTTTTAAAAGTGGTAGGGCTAGGAATAAGGGTTTATCCTAGCTATGGAACTATAGCCTCCAGCAAAGATTATTGACATTTGGCACTACTAAGTCCATTAGTTATGTTATAACTTCTAATCCGTAACCTTATTATTTCCTATATTCTAGAGCTCTTACACAAAAGTTGCTTTCTGTTTGGTTGATACTACAATCACCTTGATATTTAACAAAGGTCATCGGTTGTGCCCGTGAGCTGTATTTTAATATTGGAATAATAAGTCATAACGTGCACGTGTGCAATTGCGTTTGTATGTGAATATGAATAGACCAGATAAAAAAAATTCATGACACCAATTCAATCAAACAAAATTGAAATTGAGAATACAGGTAGAATTCTTTAGTGTTTGGTCTTTGTTAGATTTTCACTGAGCATAGAGACTAACCGAGCGCATACATGTAATGAGTGATGTCAGTGGGAATGTTGACAAACAAAATGGCTATCCGACAATTCAGTCACAATATGAAATACACACACAGAGAAATGAATGCGACTAACAACGGTCAATTATAGTGGGCGTTAAACCAAGATAACATTATCAGATACGTAACTGACATGACGAAAACTGGTGACGCACTATGTGAAAAGTGAAAAACTATCATAACGCTAAACCTTTCGTGAGGTTCTCGTGTAGAATTAAGGTTCTTTGCGTGCTGGAGTGTGAGGAGCAGTAAACGAGATGATCAATCATTAGAAAAGCGATGACATAGAATTCAAAAATTTTTCTCAACGAATGTATTCAGCGATCGAATGCAATAGAGGCAAGAACTAAAGACTACTTGAAACTCGAAACTATAAGTCGTTCCCTACAAAGCTTCGAACAGTTTCTAGTACATAAGATAATTGAATGTAAAAACAACAACGTTACTAGTATATTTATACCACCCGATTTAAAATCATTAGCATACTTCTTGCTACTCCAACCGTTATGCGCCGCAATCTCTTCCTGCGTCCGAAACACGTTCGAAGACTGAACTTGAATGCTTCAGTCACCCTGAAAAGGTCAAATCCAATATCCAATATATTTTTTACGAGCTGGTCGAAACTAGCCTGTATCTTTGCAACCACGATTTGAATGAGTAAGTTCGGTTCAGAGTAGTAGGGTTTCTGGATACCAGCAGCTATCAGATTAACAAACAGGTGATCATTTAGTTGCAATATGGAGAATAATAAGGAGAAAAGTCTGATACTAATAATAGTAAGATTTCAGGACTGAATAAAAAAATGGTTAATTTAGTTTATTAACTGGTAGTGAAGATTGTGTGAGAGGGCAGAAGTGTAAGCAAGGGAGAAGAAACAGAGGTAATAGGTGAGATAGAGTTAAGTTGGTTATCTGTGGAGGTGGCAGTATTAACGACTAGCAAGTCTTAAGGCATGCATCAGGTACAGCTTTTCCACAAAGAAGATGATAATACGCGTGTGAGTATGTGTTTGTCAAACCTCCTCTTAAAGCTGTCCACTGAGGGGGCTGTGGTCACCTTGGCTGGGAGGGCATTCCAACTTGCAACGACTCCTAATGAGAAAATGTGTGCACGAACCTGAGTGTTCGCTCTTTGATGCGCAATTTTTCGATAATTGTCTTCAGGAGAGTGTTGGTGATGCTTCAGTAAGACGCTCTGATTCTCTTGTAACTAAGAGAGAATAATCACAAGTGCTGGAGTCTATTTTTGCAAGTTTTATTCTTCAACCCTATCACCCATTTCGTAGCTCGTCTCTGCACTCCATCCAGGAGATTTATGTCTCTTTTAAGGAGAGGGGATACGACGACGTTGTGAACCTGAAGGTGTGTGCGTGCATATGTCTGAAACAGTGTTAAGAATAATTCAGGGGTGACAGCACCAAGTTGTCTTCGCATAAAGTGAAGAGTTGCATTTGCCTTGGCTGCTTCCCCCACATAGTTTGTGTAGGTGTGTAGGCTTTCATTGGTTACTCAACCGAGATTGCTTTCTAAGGAGACATTAGGGAGATTCTCATGGACCTCCAGATATTCGCATCATCTGCGCAGATCAATGCCGGTGAGTTAAAAGTGTCTAACAGGTCGGTACTGAATACCAGGAAGAGAAGTTGACTTAGGATGGTCCTCTGTGAAACTGTCCATGTTGAGACTCACCAACTCGCATGCACTATATTTACCTTGGTGTGAAACTTTTTGTTCTGAAGGTTGTTCATGAACCAAGATAGGAGTGGGTCAGTGAAGCCCATTTACCCAACTTTTGCGATTAGGCGTGCGTGGGGTACTGTGTGGAAGGCTTTTGCAAAGTCCAGAAATATTATGTGCACCGTTAGTCTTCGGTCATAGCAGATTTTCCAACTGTCCGGTGCTGTGAGAAATTTGGATGCTTACGACCTGCCTTCCCGAAACCCGTGCTGAGCTTCATGGAGTATTTTATTCTTATCCATGTACTGCCTCATCTCTTCGCTCATCTGCCCCTTCATTACCTTCGATAACATTGGTATTAATGCGACTTTTCAGTAACAGGTTGGGTCCTTCCCATCTCCTATTTTGAAGAATGAACGTAGAGAGTAGCTTAATTCCGTTCAGCTGGGAGTTGGTGTGACTCCAGTGAATGCCTAAACAGGTCACGTATTGGTGAACAGAGGACTTCTGCACATTGTTTCAAGACTACGTGGCGAATACTGCCACAACCTGGTGACTTTACTGGGCGGAAGGACTTGAGATTCCTTGGTACTAAGTCAGACTTAATACGGATATTTCCCAAGCGCAGTACTCTGAACATCTCGACACCTGATTTAAATTGTCGGTAAAGTTGGTGAGGTCTTCTGTGTTCGGACCTTTGAGGGAACATAAACCGTGAGTATTAGGTTATCTTTTTATCATGAATCTGAACATTTACTTAGGGTTTGATTGTATTTCAACAGCTAGCTTCATTTGAAGGCGTCTCCTATCGCTTTGAACTTTGGCGTTACATCTGTTTCCCAATGCCAAGTAAGAACTATAATTAGCATCCTGCAAAGAGACCTTCCACTTGTGCCAGGCTCTCTTCTTCGCCTGTAGCAAGCATTCAGTGCCGCGCCTTACCTATGTTCCGCTATTTTCGGGTGTGTGATATGACTGAGGTATATCGTTTGAGACTGCACACTGGATGACCTCTTTCACTTTTTACCGGTGATCATCTACTGTTAGCCTCCACCATTGCCGTGGCCGTGTGGCTTGTAGCAGCTTCTCCCTCATGAGTGTGTAATCCGCTCTCGTGTGGCAAGAATTGGGGCTCGTTTCGGTCCTGCCATGGTCAGAACGTCCTATTTGTGTATGATACGCTCGTCAACTGATATGCCTCGAACTACGATGCGTTCATCTTACTCGGTAAACGGAACGAAGATCAGCGCCATAGTGACACTATAGGATATTCTAATCCACTGTCCCATGCCCCTCTGACTAATGCATTAAGCCTTGATAAGGCTAGCCGTTGACAAAAAGCTTGGAATTGGGTAGAGGTGAATTTGACCCAATGTCAGATACAATCACATCTGGTATGCCATTTCGACGGAAAATTTCAGTGATGAGCTGTATTGTTTTGATTGTCGTGGGAGGTATTACAGGGCTGATTTCAGGCAATTTTGAAAGGGTATCGATCACAACTGAATACATAGTTCCATTAATTGGGCCTGAGAAGTCAACGTGTGTCCTAGTCCAAGGGTGATCACGCACGGCAATAAAACCGGCGGAGCTTTGGCATTCACCTTTGCCTCTTACCGACACTGTATGCGTTTTACAACCAACTCGGTGATTTGTTGATCCATTAGGTGGCAGTATGTATAACTTCTGGCTATGGATTTCATTTGTTTAACCCCCGGATGACCAGTCTGATACTGTCTCAGTACATTTGCTTGAAGTGATTCTTGCACAACCACTCTTCCTCTAAACATCAAGCAGTCGTTTATGATGCATAGTGAATCCCGCCGCTGATACAGCGGCTTCATGTCACCATCAAACCTCTTAGACGGCCAGTCATTGGTGACGTAGGTCATCGTCATCTTGATGATAGAGTTGTTTCTAGAAGCACTTTGTATGCCTTTTCAGACACCGCAATGCTCCGTATCGCGGTTATCAGATAAAATGCTGTGTGGTCTTCCGCTGACAGAGATGCAACTATCATGTTTTCCTCAACCACCATTTGATCATTATTAAGCCGTGATAAGCATCAGACTGACCGAATTGTAGAGCACGTCGGTGTTGGACTTCAAAATCATACCCGAAGAGTACTAAGGCCCATCGTTGAAGACGATTTGCAGAGTGAGCTGGAATGTCAGATTTTGAACCGAATATTGCCAGCAGAGGCCTGTGATCTGTGAGAAGCCTGAATCTCCGACAGTACAAAAGCTTGGGTAAACGGCGCACAGCAGACACAAGGGCAATAGCGTCTTTCTCTCTCTGGCTGTAATTATTTTCTGCTAGGGTTAGTGTGCGGGATACAAGCATAACGGCTTTTTCTGACGCGTCTGGAAACTTATATTAACGGCAGCATTCTGAAGCGTCTGCAGCTACGATGATCCGCATGGCTAGATCGTAGTGTGGTAACAACAATTCCGAGCTAATTATGGACTAAGGAAACCCCGCGTCACAGTCTTTAGTCCAGTTTCAAGTACTCTTCTTCTCCGGTAGACAATACAATGTAGCGCGAATATCATGCATCGACAGAACAAACGCTGAATGATAACTGATTAATCCAAGAAAGTATCGTAATTTCGAGACATTAGTGGGAGTGGGAATAAGTTTGATAGCTTGGATATTCTCAGAATCCGGTCTGCGGCCATCGGCATCAAAGATGAATCCCAAATACTTTACCGACTGCAATAAAAACTGGCAATTCTCTGGGCGTGACCGGAAACCGTTGTCACTGATGCGTTGCAGTACTAATGTTGTGCCTTTTTGTAGCTGTTCTAATGTCATCGCAACAATCAAAATTTCATCCAGATAAGCCGCGACCCCCAAGATAACTGATAGGATGGTATTCATTAGTTACTGGAAAATAGATGGGGCATTCTTGACTCCAAAAGACAGACGGTTTTACTGATAAAAATCACGATGAGTATTAATAGTAAGCAGCTCTCTTGATGCTTCTTCTACTTCCACTTGCAAATAAGCATCAGATAGATCAAGGTTTGCGAAAGCTTACGCCCATTCTGCGTGGTAACAGATCTGCAGGAACTGACAGAGGATAATGATACTGTTCCAGAGCTACATTGAGACCTGTGGAAAATTCGGCACATATAAGTATGGTGCCGTTGGCCTTCTTGATAACA